CCATGTTAACTTCAGCTGGTGTGGGAATTGAACCCATGTTGTTCCTATTACTTTGCATTGTAACCTAGCTATTGCAACCAACTGAGCTAACATTGTTCTATTGTGGGAGTGTGTGTGCATGCAAATCTATTGAAACAGCAGCCCTGTTGCTTATTAGAACAATGCTGCCTTTTTAAAATTTCCCATCATTGTTCAGTAACTTCTTCAAGTGATGTGCCTCATGTATAAACATAGACATTGAATGTTACTGAGCTAATTAACCAAGAGGGGTACCATATCAAAGATTCACTCCCTGCTTTCACTTCAGCCTCAGTTGAGTCACTTGTCTTAGTACAGAACCAGGCACGGAGGGGAATATGGATTAAAGCATTGATAGTTCAAGGTTTTACTGGTCTACAGCCTTTTAGTTGTGCTCTCTTGAACCTGTTTTTTTTTCCCTGGTTGAATTGCCTACTGGCTCTGTACAAACACAAAACAGTGGATGTTTTCACAGGATTACTTCTTTTTACTTACTTGTGAGGCTTGAGTGCCACTGACGGCCAGCATTTATTTCCCATTAAGAAGGTGGTAGTAAGTTGCCTTCTTGAACTTCTGCAGTCCACACGCTGTAGGATGACCACAATGTCCTTAGGGAGGGAATTCTAGGATTTAGATCAAGCAACAATGAAGCAATGGCGATATATTTCCAAGTCAGGATGGTGAGTGGCTTGGGGGGATCTTGTAAGTGGCAGTGTTCCAATGTATTTGCTGCCCTTGTCCTTCCAAATGGAAGTGGTCGTAGATTAGGAAGGTGCTGTCAATGGGGCCTTGGTGAGTTGTTCTGGTACATCTTGTAGATAGTACACACTGCTGCCAGGGCACCAGTGTGAAGGGAGTGAATGTTGAGGATGGTGGATGAGGTGCCAATCAAAGGGTCAGTGATTAGATTGTCTTTTGTTAGAGATGGTCATTGCCTGGCATTCATGAGGCATGAATGTTATTTGCCACTTATCAGCCCAAGCCTGGATATAGCCCAGATCTTGTTGCATTTGAACATGGACTACTTCAGTATCTGAGGTGTTGCGAATGGTGATAAACATTGTGCAATCATTGGTGAACAGTTGAGTTTGGGAACCTGTACCTCTCACCAGCAGACAGTTTCCTAATCAGCCAGTCCACAGATGCTAATGCACAGCACTGGATGATGTCGGACTTGAATTTGGGCTTTCGGCCTCAGAGGTAGGAATATTATTGCTGCACCACAAAACCCCTTGCTGCTTTCTTCAGCATCGAATTCTCTTTAACTTCATCCAGCTGAGATCAGTTAACCAAGCACAGGCTGGGTCATGGATCTGGGAGCTCACAGTCTGAATGGTTCAGTCAATCCACTCAGTCTAGCAGCTGCATTATCAACTGGTACTTACACCCACATCATTATAATAAAAATTTGTTGCATCCTATAGGCTACATTATAAATTGTTACAAATAAACCATTTTGTAGGTGCACTTGCAAAAAAAGACTCGACAAATGCAAACCTGTTATGTGATAGCACTGATCGAATTACTAGCTCATTCTCGCTAATAGATGTACAATTTGGTGTCATCAAAAATCCTCTGAGTTGCATAATTCCATTGCCAAGAAATTTCAGAAGAGGTCAAGATTTGCATTCCATTCCCAGAAGAAATGAATTGCTTAAATTAAATAAAATCACCTTTGTAGCAAGACAGTACCAAACATATGTACCACAATCTATTTCGCATAATATATTTTGACAATAATTTAACCCTTAAGGTGCATCAATTCTTCAGACAGCATCACCTGAAAGGACAGCTTCTTGAGTTTGTCTCTGAGGAGGAGGCTCTTGATGCTTTATTAATGGTGGACCCAAAGTCACCCTTTAATATAATTTTTTGATATACTGTGAAGAAATTACTTAAAGTGGCACTGATAGAAAAGCAATGCAGGAGCAATTAAACAATCCAAAGGTTAGTTCAGAGGGCATCCCACCCCAATAACCAATCTGTCCTTCATTCCAGAGATAGTAGGAACTGCAGATGCTGGAGAATCTGAGACAGCAAGGTGCAGGGCTGGATGAACACAGCAGGCCAAGCAGCATCATAGGAGCAGAGATTTCATTCCATCCCTTTTGCAATCAGCTTGAGCTTTATGGGAAACGAGACTATCACAAGTCTGTAAGAAGTGATGTTAATGTTCAGGTTCATTAACCTTTAAGATGTTAATGGTCCTGGTTATGAAAGGTTTGACTAACAAGCGTGTGGAATGCTCATTTGTTATCCTCTGCTGTGTCTCAGTGGCTTCAGTCATTTTTTTTTTCCCTGCTGTGCAACAACACACACCCAAGGAAAGAAAGTCCTGGGTTTCTGGACAGTACATTTTGAGGCAGACCCAAACATCTAATGACAAATTGTAGTCACTGAAGCTACAAAACTTTATGCTCTTGGCCAGAGCACAATAAGATAGAAATGGTTGAGTAGGATTGAAAATCTCATGGGTCTCAGGGCAATTTGTTGACTCAAGGGAATGGCAAGATATTCGTGGTGGGAGCCGGTGACTATGCGTCTTGTGTTTAATGCCTTCATTTAGAGTTATAGCACTCTCAACTCTGAGTCGTAAGATTGTGGGTTCAATTCTTGCTCCAAAGTCTGAAACACAACATCCTAGACTGAACCTCCAATGCACCAGTGAAGGACTGCTGCCCTGTTGGAGATGACATCTTTCAGATAACATGTTAAACTGAGGGTCTATTATTCTCCAAAGATCCTAGGGCACTAGAGGTGCTGCAGCAGACTATGGAGGTGGCTTACACCTTCCCAGGGGCAATTAGGAATGGGTGACAACCAATGGTCTTCTTAAAATGCTCACATTGCATGAAATAATTTTTGTAAAAAGTGTACCCATCAGAAATTGCCTGGTGTGCAGGGAAGCATCATCGTATCATGCTATTTATTGAAGTGAATACGATGGCTATAATTTAGCTGTTGAAAGGAAACCAATGCTTGCCTTTGATTTCTTGGTTTGCAGTTACAATTCAGATAGTTTATTGGTGAGAATGGGAGTGGGACCTTATAATGATGCTAATCGTGCTCCTATCCCAACCAACACTATCCATGCAGGTAATATTATGGGATCACAAGCCAGAAGACAAAACTACTAAAACTGGAAAATGAGATACCTTGGTCTTACCCATGTTGTATACTTCATAATGCAGGACCAGTAAAACTGATACATTCATTTCCCAGTTTTAGTGTCTTTTTTGCTGTTCCTTTTACCCTTTAGTATGTGAAAAATGGCAACTTGGTCAAGATCCCCACCCGTTGTTAGTGGTACAAGTGAATTGGACACCAGCCATAGACACAGACACCAGAAACTGAGGAAAAAAATCCATTTTTATTTTTAAATAGCTTTCTTTTAGAAAGCATTGCTTTATTTATGTTGCACATTCTTTGGAACTTTGAGAGATCCAAGCACTTTACAGACAATGAATTATTTTTTCTGAAGTACAGTTGCAGTCGTGATTTAAGAAACAGCAGCCAGTTTGTGCATGTTGAGATCTTGTCAGCAGATTTCATTTTGCTGAATGGATTATTGAAAAGTAGGCATGAATGGAAAGATAATCTGTGGGTCTATCTACAGCACATAGATTACAGCGGTTCAAGAAGGCAGCTCACCACCACCTTCTCAAGGGCAACTAGGGACGGGCAATAAATGCTGGCTCAGCCATCCCGCGAGTGAATAAAGAAAGTAGTGCTGAGGGTGCTACATAAAATTCTATACTCAAGTCAATGGAATAGGAGCTGACCCCACAATCTTCTGACCCAGATATGAGGAGGCTCCTCACTGTGAGTGTCCGACTCTAAACAATTTCATTTGGTTTATTATTGTCACATGTACCCAAGTGCAATGAAAGGTTTTGTTTTACCTGCAGTGTAGACAGATCAGGACATACAAAGAACGATTGTACGAAATGTTGGAATAAGGTCTGCTGCAGAAAGCTCGCAAAACATCGCTCTGTCTCAGCGCCATCTTGAATTTTGATTTCCTGATCAAAACAACACTTAGAAATAAAGTTAATCAAGTCATACAGCACAGAAACAGACCCTTTGGTCCAACTCATCAGCGCTGACCAGACATACTAATCTGGCCTTGTCCCATTTGCCAGCATTTGGCCCATACCCTCTAAACCCTTCCTAATTCATGTACCCATCCAGATGCAGTTACACCCGCCTCCACCACTTCCTCTGGCAGTATATTCCTTACACAAACTTGTGCATTCTACTGGAAGTCCAACATGGATTACAATAAGGGTCAAGCTTCTCTTTTTTACTCCATTGCCTTCATTCCTACTCTCTCACAGGTGTCCCTTTTATCTCATGAATCCTCCTTGCTTGCTGACCTTTCTGAATCCCGTAAGAAACATGAGCTGGCATAGGGCTCAAACTTGTTTCATACTGAACCTTGTCCAATCAGCAGTAAAAGGGTACTTCCCTTGCTACAGCCTGGAACTCTGAGTCACCAGGAGTGAAGAGAAAGTTGTCTCATTCTCTCAGGTAGATATTGAACTAACTTAGCTGCAGATGTACTTGGCTGCTACTACAATTAAACACGTACAAGGTAAAAGGAGGATAAAGAGAATTGCTGGCTCTTCAATTATTGAACTGTTTTCCAAAGGAGTTGTGTCCTTAAGGAAAGGACAATAAAATTCAGGATCGGGAGAAGTCAACCCTGAGCAGATAAAAGATCCTGTGTGTGCCATGGTTTTAGAAGACTCGATAGCAATAGTGGTAGATTAAATTTCCCCTGGCACTCTCACTTGAATAGCAATGCACATGAGTGAATCCATATTCCAATTCTAAAAATACATTTTCAGAGAAAAAAGATTTCAATAAAAATAGGTTTCGTCTATTGAATTATAAAAACGGCTTTAACCTTTCATGTTTTTTTTTCTATGCACAATTTGTTCTCCTTTTCTTTTAAACACTATCTCATTTTTTTACACTAGGAATTATAAGGACTGCCCTTCCGAACATGGATCGGGAAGCACGAGAAGAATATCTGGTGGTGATACAAGCAAAAGATATGGGAGGCCACATGGGAGGTCTCTCTGGAACGACAACTGTAACAGTCACATTGACTGATGTTAATGACAACCCGCCCAAGTTTACACAAAGTAAGTGTCATCCATCACGGCCGTTCCACACTTTGATTGTAACTCAAATGTAAGGTTTTTTTTCTTATTATACATTGAAGGAATGCAGGTTATTTTAAAAGAAAAACCTGTAGAACAGGTTTACATTATACAAGGCTTCGCTTGAGCGGCCAGCCTTACAGTCTCCATCTGCACAATCTGACATGGCTCAGTGCCTTTTCTCCAAAGGCGAGCTGGGCACCACAATCCTCCAATGAATAAAATTGCAATTGTCACACACACTACATAACTTCTTGCTCAGCTGCTTCTGTTGTACTCCCTCTCCCTCACTGCCTGCTGCAGCTTTCACAGGACCAAGTATGGTCTTCCATGGCACCTTGTTGCATAGATTATTTTGCTATTTGTGGGACTAATTCTTCTTGTTTCTCCCATTTTTAGAGTGAGCTGATAAGCCGGGGCCCCCACTGCCCTTTCACATTCCATGGCACTGTCAAAAAGAGATGCTTGTAAAACTTTGTGGAAAGGCAGTAGATCAAAGAATCCCTATAAGTGTGGAAACTGGCCCTTCAGCCCAACACGTCCACACTGACCCACAGAGCATTCCCCCAGACCCATCCCTCTATAACCCACTTAATCTACAGAGCTAGGGCACTGGTGGAATCTTTAGAAGTAGAAAACAATGTGGGATCTACAGATCCCTGAACACTACAGTTAATTTAGTATGGCCAATCCACCTAGCCTGTAGATCTTTGGACTGTGGGAGGAAACTGAAGCACCTGGAGGAAACCCATGCAAACACGGGGAGAACGTGCAAACTCCACACTGGCCCGAGGGTGGAATCAAACCTGGGTCCCTGCCACTCTGAGGTAGGAGTGTTAACCACTGACCCACCATCCTACCCGTGAGATAGAAGTTAATTGGACAGCTCTTCTGAAAAAATGGCACCAAACGGCTTCTTGTGGGCCATATAAATATATAATCCTCTCTTAAGCTGCCTGACCTGAGCTTCTAACCCAGGACGAGTTCCAATCCCCAATAAGTAACCTCAAGAAGGTAGCAGGCTGTGATTTTCCCTCCAACCATACTTCTTCCCTGCCACAGGAAGATGCTCAAGATTATAAAAGCAGCCATCCTGCTTGAGTTTGGTTTAGAAAACAGCAGTGCTCCCTAAGCATCTGTGCTGCTCTGACTGTTCCTTCCCCATTTTAAATTCACCTTCATCAATGGCTTTCATTTATGAAACATTTTTAACATTCAAAAGCCTCCCAAGGTGCTTCTAAGGAGAATTATCAGACTAGCAAAAATTGGTTCAGTGCCAAACAAGGGGATATTAGGGCTGGTGATCTGCAAGGTTATTTTAGTGTTTTTCAGGAGGACAGAGAGAGAACCATACTGTATACCAAGTCTTAACACAATTTCATACTACTTGAGTAAGTCTCTTAACAGTCCTGTTAAGCCTCCCTTAAGTCTACCTTGTTGTTTATGCTTTGAAATGAAAATAGTTCCATTTGCTGCAAATGGTGACACCATTCCCGTATTGTTTCCTATTTGTAAAGATTCCACTGATCCCCTAGTTCTTTCCTGTCAGCCCCCCACCCCCCTCATAATCTGACCCCCCACCCCATCCCCATTGATAGTGCAGTTCCTTTGATACGCTTTCTATTTGTAGCAAGCTAATCTTTCTGTGCTTGCCATGGCACTAGGTATCAGGAGGTGAATTAACTCGGGATATTATCTCAACCGAGTGTGATCTTGCTCTTTCACAGTGTCCAACTCACAGCTGGAGTTGTAGCTATTGCAAAACAAAAACTATGGTTAAAGTTGTCAGAAGAGGTCAATCATTTCAGTTGCAGGGCATCATTGCATGAGATCCCTAAGACAGTGTCCTGGGTCTATCATCTACAGCTACTTCATCATGGAACTTGACTCAGAAAATGAGAAGGAATGAATGAATGAAATGTTCACTTTATTTGGCAGCTCTTCAAATAATAACACAAGAAACAGGACTGGGACAACACCCAGGCTTAAGCTGATAAATGACAAGTCACATTTGTGCCATGCAAATACCAATAATGACTCTATTCAATAAGAGTGAGTACCTATCACTGATATTCAGCAGCTGAATCTTCCACATATGTTATCCGAGAGTCACCACTGACCAAATTGAAATGGACCAGCCACATGAATACTGTGACTACAAGAGCAGGTTGGAAATTCCATGGTGAGGATTTCATCACCTACCTCCCCAGCACCGAACTACCATTTACAAGGCAGCTACCGGCAATGATTTCACTCCATTTATCTGAATGAGTGGAGCTCTAATAAGAAATTTAACACCATCTGGGACAAAGTAGCCAGTTGGATTGTCTCCCTGTTCATCACCTTAAATTTCCATTCCCTACTCCACAGGATGAAGGTGGAAGAGAGTACATCATTTACAAGCTGCAACATTCATCCAGAGAAACCCTTCTAAACCTCAATCATCCAAAAGACCATGGGCCATCATTTGCATGAGAATATCACCACCTCCCTTCCCCTGCCTGTTGCATACTATCTGAATTCATAAATATATCCCCATTCCATCATTTGGGTCAAAATCTAGGAACGTCCTCCCCAACAGTACTGTGAGTGTACTTATGTCACATGGTCAGCACCAGTGCAAGAAGGTGGCTGACTACTGCCCCCTCAATGATGTTTTGAGGTGGGGTGTTGCAGTTCATTCTGAACATCTGAGTTGCTGTGATTGCCTACACTTTCAATGCATGTTGCAGTCTGGAGCTATCAATAGTGATGGCAGAGAGTCCAACTTTCTTTCCATCACCCGCTGGTCAGTAATGTCTTCCATTCTTAGCTCTCACCATTGAAATATGTTGAAAGGATTTGCTGGTTGATGTCACCCCATTATGAATATACTCTCTGTGGGCATCATGTCTTGATATTGGATTGATGCTAGAGCTTCTGCCTCAGGAGCGACACTACCTATTGCATTATAAGCCCCCCACAAGGGCAATTAGCAATAAGTAAATAAATAATGGCCTTGTCAACAATGCTAACATCCCATGAAACAGGGAAAAAAAATTATATTTCCAACCATAGCCACTGGGCAGTCTTCAGGAGCAACAACCTTTGCTGATTTTTGTTCCCTTGTCTCAACAATGGACATCTAGGCAGAATTCTAAACTGTAAGGTGCCCTAGTTGCGATTTATTATCTTGGACTGGGTCTTTGCTGGTGTGTATAGAATCAATCACTAATTTAGTAAATTCAGGGAGACATTTGTGAAGTTATGTCTCCCCAGTGTTTAAAGAGGAAAAGAAGTTATTTGCCCAAGCAGCAGTTGTCAGCTGGTCATGTAGAGGAATGCAGCAATTCCTCTACCCGAAAGTAAATACAATTTGTTAAAATAAATAGTCACAAACATTCACAGGCCACATCATTGCTGATTAAAAAATGATTGATTGGAGTGATCGAAAGGTTCTCTTTGTTTTGGCGCTAGGTTTGAACATAGAATTTAAGCTCTCAAGCTAAAACTGATCCATCAGTAGAAATGACATTACATTCTCCAATCAGTGGAATGTAAGTCTAAATTTTGAATGTACTCCCGTAAATTCTGCTATGTGCTATTTCTTGAACAGTTGTTAGCTTATTAATGTAGCCTGCCACTTAGCTGGAATGGCCAATCCAAGGATATGACGAAAAAAAGAATATGGTCACAGGTTTGTGAGTAAACTTTGGGAAAATAGACTTTCAGTGATCTTAAAGACTGTTGACCTCTTTCATTTTATTGACTCCATGTCCAGACCCCTTTCAAAGAATATTAGAAATGCACGCTATAAATTAAGAGCAGGGGCAGGCCATGTTCCACCTTTCAGGAAGAATAAGGCTCATCTGACTTTGGTCCGCACGTTCTTGCATACCCTTGAATATCTCTGAGGACCTTGTTAGTCGACAATCTATCCACCCCTCTCTTAAAAATATGTAACAACCTGCCTCTACTGCTGTCTGGGGAGAGAATTCCAAATATTTACAACACTTTCAGAGGAAAAAGTTGAACTCATCTCTGTCATAAATGAATAATCCCTTACTTTTTAACTGTGTCTCCACATTCTTATCTTTCCCACAAGGGGAAATGTCCTTTCAGCATTCACCATGTCAAGTTCTCTAAGAATCTCATTAGATTTGTGGAAGGTTCTTTTAGCTTGGAAAATAGCTAATGTAACTCATTTATTCAAAAGGGATGGAGATAGAAGGCAGGAAATTACAGGCCAGATAGCTTAACATCTGTCTCAGAAAAATGTTAGAAGCTATTATTAAAGACATTATAACCGGGCATTTCAAGTTCAAGATAAAGAGGCAGACCAACATGGTTTTGTCAAAGGAAATCATGTTTAACTGATTAACTGGAGCTCTTGAACAATAACTTCTGCAGTGAATAAGGGGAACCTGTGGCTGTATTGTATTTAGTTTTCCAGAAGGTATTTATTTGATAACATTCAGCAACAAAGGTTACCGCAGAAAATTTAAAGTCATGGTGTTGACAATAACATGTTAGCATGGAAAGAAGAATTTTTTATTCATTCATGGGTTGAGGGCATCGCTGAACAGGCAGTATTTATTGCCCATCGCAGTTCAGAATCAATCACATTGCTGTGGGCCTGGAGTCACATGTCAGTCAGAGCAGGTAAGGATGGCAGTTTCCTTCCCTAAAGGACATTAGTGAACCAGCTAACTGGAAGAAGAGTAAGAATAAGAGGGTCTGTTTCAGGCTGGCAGGATGTCACGAGTGGTCTAACAGAGGGACTGATGCTGGGCCTCAACTCAATACAATTTAGAGAAATGAGTTGGATGAAGGGACCATAGGTGTGAATGCTGTGATGAGACAAAGGTTGCTGAGGAAGTGAGTTGTAAAGGGGACATAAGGTTCCTACAAAGGAATATTGATAGCTCAAGTGAGTCAGTAAAGCTTGGAAAATGGAAAATAATGTGGGAAAGTGTGAAATTGGTCATTTTGACAGATAATAAGAAAAGGCATATTTACTAAATA